ATATATATATATATATATATATATTGTTACCTCGACAGTTTTCAGATGGGTTGCATGGCAAAGCTGATCTGTTGGAAGCCTTCAGATCAGATGTTTCCTTGATGAGTTCAAAGATTACATGCTTCTCATGACCTTTAAGGTCAGAGAGATTCACTTCTACAAGTCGAGGAGATTCCTTCACGAGTACTGTAACGCCTAATCCTTCTACTTCACCCTATAATATTTAATCAATAAAAGAAGAAGTCAATAATGTTGTGTGCTTTCAAAAGAGTCAAAATGCAATGACAAAAAATAAGATCTATTTTATTCTCTAATTTTTCGTCATCATTCTCACTTCTCCTACACACATATATGTCTCAAATATCTTAACAAAATTATATAATCATTCCAAGTCATCGAATAATGAAATACTAGAGATGGAGAAACTTAAATTAGACACATAAGCTGTAAATTTGATAAAGTAAAACAATTAATATAAATACACAGTAATTAAGCTCTTTAAAGAATTGACATTTCACCTTCACTTTAAAAACCTTGTATCCCTCGCTGGCCTGACAGACAGCTCACGATCAATGACAAAGAAAAAGAATGTCGTTAATATATATATATAAAAGCGAAATGAAATAAATAAATTGCAATGATATATGGTTATGGAAGTGCATAAAAAAAATCTTTAATATATGTTCTGCCTAAAGTTTAAAAGATATATACTCTTTGTAATTTCATCTACTATAATTAGAACAAAAAAAAAATCAATTAATATTCTTCATCACACTCTTGTGAAGAGTAAACTATGATGAACAAAATAACAATAATAAGATTGTTTTTAAATTTAGGTAGGCTTATTAGTACCTTCACAGAATCAGGACCAAAAGCCTCTCGGATCATAGCCCAGATCATTGTTCTCTTTCCTACTCCTGGTGCTCCTTCGAATATGAAATGTCCACAATGTCCTTTTCTCTCCTGCATATATATAATATGCATGCAACGTATACCGAATTAACTCACGTCAGCCAAGTTCTATGAATATCTTAGCAAATAGGACTTCTTATAATTTGATAAATCCTTAGTTTTGAAAAAGCAAATTAAATGAAAGGTGGAATATCTTTATAAAGATGTCCCACGTTCTTGTCAAAAAAAAAAAAAAAAAAAAAAAAAACGATTAATGTGATATCAAGTAAATTTGGCCATGATTAATGTTAAATTTCAACTACTTTTCGACAGAATGTTCTTGGTTCATAAATTTGAATAAGAATTCAAATTTTAATTTTAGAAAGCACCATAACAAAAAGGTGTGAATGGTTCAATAATAAGAAACCGAACAGGGTGTTATATATGACATATATACATACATATCAAAGTGGTACTTGTAGTATGCATTGTTCTTACCAGAGCCTGCAACTGAATGGCTTTGCTTCTATTACAGATGAAATCCTCCAAAGCCTTGGGCCTGTACTTATCTGCCCACAAAAACTCTCTCTCTCCATCCATAAGCTTTCTATCTCGATCATCAATAAGAATATCCTTCTGATCAGCATGACCAAATTTTTCCAACGGCGATATTATCTGTTGATCAGGCAAAGACATTGCTTCATCATGAGCTAGTCCTGCCGATACTCTACTCTCCCTCAATGGCTTCTTTTCGCTATTAGTACCGCGCTCATCCGTGATTCCCGCAACACTTTTCTTCTCCTTCGCCAAAGCTTCCTCCGTAATGATCATGTCTGATGCGAGCAAAGGCGGCGCCGGAGATGGCGACGGGAAGGCGGAGTAATAAGAAGAAGAAGAAGAAGCGCCAGTACTAGTAACGCGATTTGCAGTAGTACTATTTGTCAATCCGGCGGACGGTGTTGCCTTGTGATCATGATTGTGATCTTCTTTCTTGCTTCTGAAGGCAAGGCAAGCGCCGGTAAATCCTTGAATCTTGACCATGATACTCGAAGCGAACGAGGCCTTAGTGAAGGCAGTAGTAGTATTACTGGGTGCAATATGGCTCTCGGTGCGCTCCGGCGAGTAGGGCGAAAGAGCTGGCCTTGACAAGAGCCCTCGGTAATAAGGGCTGCAATCCTTGTTGCACAAAATTCCATTTTGGAATTTTTGCTCATGAAGAGAAATTATATCTAGAGTATTCGTTCTAGAATTAGCTGTGGCGATGACGCCGGCCTTAGTGCTAAAATCCAGGAGATTAGTATCCAGGAGATTAGTACCGTTGTTTGTTCTTTTCCTGAGGATTTTTTTGGTCAACAATGTCCGAACCAAACGGTTGGGACGGTTTTTGTTGGCGGGTTTTGCGACCGGAGGCGCTAGTCCCGACGGCCTTTGGAGGCCGTGGGGGAGCCGCCGGCCGATATTGGAGAGGTTGGGAGCGGAAGCGGATGCTGATGAGGAACGAGGGATTGAGGAGGGGCTCGGCATTGGATGTGGGAGTCAGCAGGAGGGTATGCTTTTATTTATGCGGCGATATAGTAAGCAATAAAGGCTTATGCATGAGGTGGTCATGAGGGCGGCAATGGCAATGAACTAATTTGGAAGTATGTTTTTTTTTTTCCAAAGTCGGCATTTGATTATTATTATTGTGCATGCACAATCTACGACCGTTAGAAACTATGCTCTGTTTATTCTATGTATAATTGGCTGAAATTTGTTGCACTCGATACCATCTATGCAAAATCAATTATATGTGTGTGTGTGTCTGTACATATATGTATATGTATATACCTCGGTTTGTCCCCTTTTCCATTTTAGTATATATAGTATTTGGAGGCCCCTATCAAGAATATAAAAATTTATCATCGATGGACACAATGTATAACTTGTTTGTTAATTTTTTCTTCTTTTTCATAATCAAGTAATTTGACAGTTAATGTCGTGTTGTAATTATTAATGAAAAGTCTTATCTAATTCAACTGCACAACATAATGGAAAGAACCAAATTCGTTCATTTGTCTTAATGACAAGATATTAAAACACGGAGCACATACGTATTACTATAAAATGGTGGCTAATTGGTTAGTTAAAACTTATAATATTGTCAAGAATTCTAATTTGTAGGAACATTGTTACATGCACTTACGCCATCAAAACGCGTGATGTAGATATGAACAAGAAATTACCATTTCGGTTTGTTGTGCAAATATACAACAACAATATATATATATATATATATGTATGTATGTATGTATATTTAAGCACTCTTCAAATTTATTTTTAGGGACAAGATATACTTGGTTAATTGATGCTCATTTCTTGTGCATGTCTGTTAAGTTGAGTACAGAAGCTCAGAATAGCTAGGCAGCGAAAAACGGCCTCCCTTTAACTCTTATATATAATATTCTAGACTTTGATATATGGTCATTTTGGCAAGTAATTAATGGTTCCCCTGGAATTACTCATACCAAAGTACCACACCATTTAAGTATTAGTTACATAAATAAAAGATATGTGTAACCATAAGAAACTTCACTTTCACAGACTAATTTTTTAGTCATAGTCAAAGAAGTTCTAGTTTAATATAGCAGAAAATCTTTCACGACTAAAATAAATATAGATCGCCTCTTGCATGGTTGCTAAAAATCAATTGCAGAAACTCGCGACTAAAAATTCGCAATCGTTAAATATTTATGTATTCCACGTCTAAAAGTACTCATGTCGCAAGAGAGTCTTTTTGTTAGTTTGCAAGAAAACTTAAAGACGCCAATGCAAAATTTTATGTTACAAAGAGACCAAATTATTTTTGCCGTCTACATGAAAGTCAATTGGCAACTAATAATTGGTCGCCATCAAATTATTTGTTAGATAAATTTTAGTCGCTAAAAGATCCAATTTAACGACTAATACTTAGTGATTACAATTTTTTATTTTCAATTTTTTAGAAACTAAGAGTTAGTTACTGAACAATATTTGTAAGCTTTAAGCTGGGACTGGCTTTTAGCCATCAAATTTTATGAAAATTCAAGAGATCTTTTTGCCTCCACTGACTAATATTCAATAGATCCTAACATACCACATCTGCAAAAAAAAAAAAAAAAATGTATTTACACATAAAACATATCGGTGAATAACTAGACTTTGAAATTGGTACTAGCCTAATTTACTCTTAATAAACCCATCTACATCACTTATTACTCTTCAAATATTGGGTTTTACACTCCTGAAACACTTATGTAGATGTTGGGCTTGTTATCTAATTTGGTTAAATTATGTCCCTGTACATTGAAATCCAATATATAAGTCACTGCACTAAGTAGTTTAGTCCGGTCCAATTTCTATTGAGAAAGCATAGGCCTGCAGTGCAGTGTATACCGGTTCAGCCCGTATCCTAAATCGACTTTTATATATATATATATATACATATTATCTTTTATTTTATTTTATTTAATCAACCTATAAGCTTAATATGCCAAAACAAAACTGACCAGCTTTTCATAAAACCAGCACAATGAAAAGGCCTACTCTAATATCCTTATGTTCAAATATCACTGTTATTCTCCATAAAGTACTTACGTCTATAGGTCTCCTGTTAACATGTTACTTTAATTCCTGTTTACTTTTTCTCATTGCCAAATAAACTAATAATATTGGTACGTTGTCAAGTTGTTTATGAATCAGATTCCTTGATTATAACAATATATATTGAATATCTTGATGCATGAGATTCTTTATAATCAACCACAAAAATCAAATTAAGCCGGATAATGATATATCCTTAATGGAGTACTCGAGTTAATCCTGATATGCACGACCCTTAATTTGATTGTTTAACTGATTGCCTAGTTTTCTTCTCTTTTGAAGAAAAGAAGAAGGTGCCACTGTGTTTCATTTGGGAAGATCAAAAATATTATTCTTGCATGTATATACATAAAATCTATATATATATATATATATATATATATATATATATATATTATAAAGCGCATGTACTATTCTAGAATTAGTTATTACATTTTCTGTATGCACATTAAAGAAGATGATAAGTGATATAAAATGCAATTAACACACGGACACGCCCACATATTATACAGTTTTATTAACATATTGACTTGCATAATATTTAAGTCTAGTAAGTTAGAAAAAGTTTTTTTTCCTCCCCAGAATCCACAAAACACATATAAAACTATATCTAATCATGCATTGACCTTGTTATTTTAACATTTATTTAATAGTTAGAGTGATAGTTGCTTTAACTTAATTGTAATTGTTTAACATATTTGAATGCTGGAAACTGTTAAGAGAGAAAATTATAATTATAACTTTGTAAGTTGAATGATCCAATTCAGGCCTTGAGAGAGTTCAGACTTGGATTATAAAATACATTCTGGATTGGGAAAGTGCCCGGATCGTTAATATAAATGATTGCATAAAGAATCTTCCCCAAGGTTAAGGTTATATCTCCATCATGTCAATTCTTGTTAATCTACATATAAAAGGATATTAAAAAGATATGGTTTTTGCATCAGAAAGCACATTTCTACCATATTTGTTTCACTATGAAACTCAAAAAGTTTTACTATATATATGTCCTGCCGGGGTTAAAAAAAAAGTAATAACATTCATATCTACTAGTAACATTCATATCCAATATATCTCTAAAGCAGGGATTCCAATATTCCTATAGCAAAAAAGAAGGAAAAAAAAAAAAAAAAGGAAAAGTAAGAAAGAAGAAGTAGGAATTCCATTATATATAAAGTAGAGCTCAACGTTACAGTCATTAGCCAATTAAGTATTATTACTTTGTAAAAGAAAACCTTGAACTTGCTCATCAACATGCGCGCAAAAGGTGGGTGGATCCATGATCTCTCATTGCCAATCCTGTAAACATTAAAATATTAAGACACATGAAAAAGATTAGTTTACTAGATTATTTAATTAGTAGAACGTGGTGGGTACCTCGGATTTGAGCATATATTAGGTTACTGTTAATTACTTTTCTTGTGCCCGTAGTTGTCTTTAATTAGTCGTTGATCTTATCGTTGTTGAGTAATCAATGAGAAATTTAATAAATTAATCCGAAAGACGACAAGATTGTACGAGTTATTAGGTTTTCCGTTGGACCACTACTTGCTAATAAAAAAATGACGACGAATGTGTTAAGCGCTTAATAATATTTTTTATTAGTCAAAATTAGACCGAGATTAATTTATGTATATTCACAGAGACATAACAAATTGTGATTGGCTCGATAAGGTTGAAGTCGTCACTAATGGTGCTCATTTCTATGTCTATGAAGCAAATTGCATATGATGCAAGTGAAAATATACATATATTAGTAAATGTCTTAAATCTCACAAAGAAAGTAGTTATATACTAGTTAGTATTTGATTTATAGTCATGTTTAGTTGTCTGTGATCTATAAGTGTTTCGAGTTGGCAATAATATCTTGGAATTTCGCTTGTCAAGTTGAGGCAAGATATTGTCGGCTCTATTGATCTTGACAATCTATGTGAAAGGTCTTATATCTTATTTTATTGAGAAATATAAATAAGTAAATGTTGTATATATCTTATATGTTTATGTTAAGTATTGACAAATAGTTATAACTAATATGTTTCATGTGTGGATGCATATATATATATATATAATACATATTATATGTGTGTGTGTATATGTCCAATCAGACATTACTACAACCGTGAAATGGATTATTTCTTTACTTTTAGTACTTTATTATTATTATTTTTTTTAGTGAGGGTGAAGGAGAAAACATCAAAGAGAGCCAGGACATCCTATTGACATCCCCTAACTTTCCCATTCTATTTCCAAAACACCACCACCCAATATTATTAATAAAAAAAGGAAAAGGTGATAAATAGCATATTTATAAAATTAAATTAAATAAATAGCAGATTTTAAAACTATTTAAAATAAATAATAGTTAAAGTGGTAAATGAATTATTTACCGCTTAAATGATTCATTTACGGTTAGTAAAAATATTTTTTTAATTAAATTTTCTTTTTACGATTGGTAAAAAAATTTTTTTCCACGTAAATAAAGATTTTTTACCATGTAAGTTATCTTTTACTAGCCGTAAATGAATCATTTACTGTGTAAATGCTTCATTTACATAGTAAATTATTCATTTATCATGTAAATTACTATTTATTTCAAATTATTTTAAAATTTACTATTTACTTAGTTTAGTTTCAAAAATCTGTTATTTATTACAATTTTCGTAAAAGAAAAAACACATGAATAGTCTAAAAACAAAACAAGCTTGAAGGCTAATAGAACCTGGCCCCAAGTCAAAAGAAACAGACACAAAGACTATGGAAACAATAAAAATAACAAATAACTATCAAGTGATGATATTGCCAAGCCAGAAGCTAATAACAGAAGGTCAAGCCTAGACTTTCCTTTTGATAATCGAGCTATAATGGACCAAAACCTTACTAGTAAAAACCCATACTTGCAAATGAAA